AGCTTCTGCGCAGGCGCGCTGCTTCCCTTGCACCGCCCTGAGCAGCGCAGTGAACTGGCGCCACCCCCGGCCCCCCCCGCCCCCACACACCCCGTGGGGCCACCGCCGGCTCCTCCCCGTGCGGGCGGGGGCGGGAGCAGGGGGATGGGGGTGACCCGCCTGCCCGCCTGCCGCTTTCCAGGAACTCCCGTCACGGGCAGTCCCGGTTTCGCGGCCGCGGCGCCGCCTCCCCGCGTGGGCCCAGAGACTCGGCCTCGGCCTGCGTGGCCACAGCCGAGCTGGGCTGCGATTCTCCCTGGTAGCTGCCGCGGGGCTGTCTCCAGAGCCAGGGGAGAGCAAGTGGCGTTGAAGTGGGCTCGGGCCTTGCTCCATGCAGCGCTCAGTCAGGATCCTGGAAAAGTCCCAGCCCCCCCCCCGCCTTATTCTGCCTTCCCACAGCAAGGCCTATCTTATCTCTGGGCCCGAGGCATGCTGCAAAACACCTGCCGTGCTGGATACCCCGGGCTGGATTTTGACTCGAAAGCTCTCGTGTCTCGGAGGCCAGTGCTCCTCCTCACTCCCCTTAGGAAGCCAGAAGAGAAAATCCCTCTCTTTGAATTAGTTCAGAACAACTCATCTCATGAGTTTTAAGCCAAATCCATCCTGTTTTGGAGGCTGGCTCCTGATTTTCGAACTGGAGATTGCAAACTGCCTCGTGGCCATACACAAATGAATATGGCTGCTAAAAGCTGCTCTGGCAATGAGCGTTGCCCAAGTGTGTGTGTGTACCTGCAGATGAAATGGGTCATGCCGTGGAGGTTGTGCTGATACGTGTGCGATACGCTCAGAATGATTAAGGTGCAAATTCATGATTTTGGATGCAAAAGAGGTCTCTAAACAGATGTGTGTTTCTGTGCCTGCAGTTTTCAGAAATGAAGGGAGCCCATGTAAATGTTGCTAGTCCATTTAACACCCAAACAAAGTCTGTCTGTCTTAGTGTCTTATGTAGCTAAATAATAAAGCCCACACCCCTTTCTGTGGAGAAATAGTCCCTGCCCACAAATTTTGTAAGACTTCCTTAAAACAGGCGGTTGCTAAGCTACTAAAGGCAGGAGTCCTATACCTTCAGCATGCTGGTACAGCACCTAACAAGCTGGGGTTTCCATCCTGATTCAGGCTGCACCTAATACATTATAAAAATTATGATTGTGTTCCCACTAGCTTACCTTGCTACAAGATTCACTCTCACTACAAAGAACAATCATATCAATCATGAACCTAAAATCATTGTTTCCAGTTATAACTTCTCAGTCTTTGCTTGATAGTCTTTTCCTACGGTTTGTAGGAAAAGACTAAAAGTCATCTAGTCCAGGAAGGACTCCATCTAGTTGATGTTCAAAACTAAAAAGTTCAGTCAAAGTTAGTGCAGTATAAATATTACATCATAAATGATGGATGATAAATGACTACTAAAAATTGGGAGGTGTCTCCAAAAGTGGGGACTGATTTCTGCACTGGAATGGAAACATGGAGATGCTGGAATCTTACCTTTGTTAGGATAAAAAATAGTGTATTTGATACATAGAGCAATGTTCATAGAATCATAGAAAATTAGGGTTGGAAGGGACCTCAGGAGGTCATCTAGTCCAACCCCTTGCTCAAAGCAGGACCATCCCCAACTAGATCATCCCAGCCAAAGCTTTGTCTAGCCTGATCTTGTTTTACTACCCTCTTAGTGAGAAAATTTTCCTACTCTTAACTTCCCTTGCTGCAACTTGAGACTATTGCTCCTTGTTCTTTCATCTGCCACCACTGACAGCATCCATTTTCTTTGGAACCACCCTTCAGGTAGTTGAAGGCTGCTATTAAATCCCTCCACTGTCTTCTCTTCTCCAGCCTAAATAAGCTCAGTCCCTCAGTGTCTCCTCAGAAGTCACGTGCCCCAGGCCACTAACCATTTTTATTACCCTCCTCTGGACACTCTCCAATATGTCCAAATCCTTTCTGTAGTGGGGGCTCAAAACTGAACACAGTACTCCAGATGTGGCTTCACCAGTGCCAAATACAGGGGAATAATCACTTCCCTTGATCTGCTGGCAATGCTCCTCCTAATGCAGCCCACTATGCCGTTAGCCACCTTAACAATAAGGGCACACTATCAGCTCATAAATTTTTATTCCTAAATTAAAAAAATAAAGGCAATCTTTCTTACATTCACTATGTGTTTACATGTAATTGCATATGCCTGTGTATGAAATACGATAGCAGCCTGAGGTCATGAATGAGATCAGCGGTGGATTGAGCTAGCCATATACATGCAGTAAGAGATCATTCATTCCCCATAAACATTTACCACGTAACAGATGAGATGAGATCAATGGTCAGAAGGAAAACAGTAGAGAAGTAATTTTCCCAAGATTATCCAACAGGTAACTGGCAACATGGGAATAGAATCTAAGCCTCTTAATTCCCAGTACAGTGCCCAGTACATGAGACATCTTGTCTCTCAAATTAAACAACAGATGTGTTTTTGTAATGCAATTAAAAGTGGGTGCTATCTGCTTCTCCAGGCAGACACAAAGCTGCAGTTTCTGTTGATTTTAACTGGAATTTGCAAGCCCAGCGCTTCTCAAAATCAGATCCTCAATAGATAAAATAAGAGCTTTTCCTCTATTCCACACTATTCTAACCATTATTTTAGCATATTCCTTAATGGATTCCCCTCTCTTCTGCTATCCCCCAAAAACCATCAGTTTTCTGGTTTTGATTTGTTTGTTTCTATTCTTCTGTAAATTATCACTGGTTACTGCATTCACCTGTGCTCAGTTCTCTTAACTCAGTTATTACTGAGCTTATGTCTCCTCTTTGTTTTTTTTAACTTTGTGTTTATCTATTATTAGATAATAATACACTATTATTATCTAATAATATTTATTATTTGCTAATATCCAAGCTACATAGTTGGTCCAACAAGAGATGCCATTCCCAAAAATCCTTGCTCCTCCCATAATTTTTGGACCATCACAGCTACAACATCATATTTATGCTGTCTAATTATTACTAATTATATTATGTTAGTGATAAATTGATCCCCCGTTTGCTACAGTAGTTCAGCATGGGCCTGACTTTCCACATGTATATAAATCTTCTAAAATTCATCCTATCCATCCTTTTGACTAAATCCCTGGCCTGTGCCTTGATTATAGTCCTTTATTGCTTTGACTATAACTTGTCCAAAATGCTGCTGTGAAAATGATCTTTTCTTACTATTTTGACATTACTGCTCCCCCTGATTAAGTCCCCTGCTTTCTTGAGCTGACATACCAGGAGGGCAATAATTTGAGGGCGGGAAATGTTGTTGTAGTATTGGTATTACTGGTATTATACTGGTTATTAGTTATTTTGACTCTGTTTTGCTTCAGTTTCCCCATTTGCAAAACAGGATAACAGTTTTCTTCAGTAAAGAGCTTTGAAACTATAAATGAAAACAGTATACAAGAACTAAGTACTTCATGATTATTTTATTGTATTTAGATGCAGGAAGTATCAGGTAAAACATTCTGGCCCCTCAAGCAATGGGTCAGGCTTAGCAGTCATAATATTGTTTCTCTATTCTTAACATCCATAAACCAATGATTATCTTCCTTGTGCTTTAGAAAGCATTAGAAATGTGCAGGTCACCCGGGAGACACCAAAATACCATCACTTTATAGCAGCAGGTATAGAGATTTCTACATGATCCCTCTGTCTCTCACTTGCTCGCTCGCTCTCTCTCTCTCTCTCTCATATAGAACCTGGATATTTTGTGGGGTTAGGTTTTTACCCTCCCTACAAAGTAATTGGGTTGGTATACAAAGTTGCAGCAAAAACCTCTGTGAGAACCCCAAAGGTGCTTTAGCTGTTTGCTGCAACTCTTATTTCAAAGGGTACATTTCTCTGATCAGCTGTATGGGACCACTAGTGAGCTTCATCTGATCAGAGAAGTGGTACCCTTTGAAGGAAAGGCCTGAGGCATCAGCTGAGTGGCTTGTCTTTAACTCAGCA